TCCATCCACAAACCATACTTCCATATTTTCCATCCCCTTCTCTCTCTGTGTGCTGCAGTCTGGTTCATTTCCTCAGATATACTGTCCAATTTACTCGTTCTCTCTATAGCTGTGTCTAAGCTGCTGTGCAATACATTCAATGAGTTTTTAATTTCAATGAATATATTTTTCATTTCCAGACTCTCCATTTATTTTTTTAAAATCCTTAAAAAAAATCTCTGGTCATTTCCTCAACTTTTTACTCAGAAAAACTTAAACCTAAAGGATCAAGCTTTTATTTAGCTGTTATGTTTCTTTGGTCTCCTAGTCTCATCTAGAACAGTTCCTAGATAGCCCTCCGCCTTTTGTTTTTGTATAGCATTGACATTTGTGAGTTATTTTGCAGACTGTCTCTTAGTTTGCAATTGTCTGATTATATCCTTGAGGTAAAATTCAGGTTAAGCATTTCTGCCACGTCAGGGATGCTGTGTCTTTCTTGGTCCATCACAGCAGGAAGCTCATGATACTACATTTGACTGTGGTTACGGCTGGTCAAGGCAAAGGTGGTGTTGCCTGTCAACTTCTGTAGTGTTTTTTTCTGCTTGCCCATTTTTCTGTGTCATCTATTTCTGCAAACGTTTGTCACAAGAACATAATATATTCAGTAACAATTTATAGTAGTTGAAGTTCTTGGCCATTTAAATTTGTGGTTTTGGCCATTCTTAGTGGCTCACTTCCTTGTGTTTTGTAGGATTATTTATTATTATCATCTCATAGTTTATTGAACTTAATTTGTCTGAATCCCGAGTGCATAAACCAAAGCGTGGTTTCTTTCACAGAGGATCTATACTTGTCGTTCAGCGAGCTGGAAGAACTGGTGTGATGCGGACTCCCGAGGTTAGCATCCCTCCTTTTTGTTAGTCCCAAGGCTTAAACTTTAAAACCACTGATATTTATCCTTAAGGCAATCCTGGATTTCTTTTTTATGCTTGCTTCCTTCTTGGCATGTGGAAGTTTCAGCACACTTGTCTTCTTCTTCTCTTCCTTCTTCTTGGCCCTAAGAGGTTTACCTCACTTACTTGGGAGCCTAGCAGTATTTCAGAAAGTAGACTTGTGGGGAATAGGCTGTTACAGCATCTAGTCCACCATTCTGCTGCTCTGGGCTTCTTGGGAACTGCATTCTGTATTTCTGGCTGAGTCAGCCACTTGGTAATATAGTTTCAAATATTTTTCCAGGTAAAGATTATTATGACCGTGTTTTTTAAACCTGAGGGTTGCAAAGTTAACTTAATGGGCCACCACAAGCACTAAAAATAAGACAGAATGGAAAGCACTAGTCATTTAAATGTAGCAAAATTCAATATTATTTCTTGATGAATTGTATTCAATTATGTATTTATATGTACTAACTTGTGATACAAAATGCACGTCTTGCTGTTGTCATGGTGGTTTTTTTGTGTAAAGAAATACTCCAGGGCAGATAACCTTAATGTGCCTAGAATCCACACAGTGGAGAGGACTCGAGGCTTCTTCCTCAGGAGGAGAATCTCGGGGTCACCCTCACAGGGCCCATCTTTGTTGTGAGGCCCCTGACTTTCTACAAGGTGGCCACGGAGGCTGAATCTAAGGGGAACACACAGTCAAAGGATAATTCCTATCTGTCGAGTAAAGCAATCTGCAGTAGACCCTGAGCCTCTTTGCACATCTCTGCTGAGTGTGCCAAATGGCAAGTCCCTACCATCCTCCAGCCCCGAGCCACTCCTGCAACCAGCGAAGGAGATAATTCTGAGAAGGAGGTCAGGATCTCACAGGGTGACTAGTGTACAGCTACCTGGTTCCTGGGAAGGGCCTGGCTTGTTCAGTGCTTGCTATAAAGGCTGCTGAGTGCCCTGGCCTGAGCTCCTAAGCTGTGGCACCATCCACTGTGTGCACAGCTGCCATCTGGGCCCACCAGGTCACATGGCCACACTCAAGTAGAGGACAACTTTTACCATGCTGCATTCCCTCTGCTTGCTGGGCAGTGAGTAAAACACTCCCATGCTCTAATGCACTGAATTTCACTGTTCACTTTCAGCGTTTCAGCAAACCCATCTAAATTCCTGGCTTGCTTAGCTATCATTTCTGGAATCTTTTTACTCCTGGCCGTTTTCTATGAATGGCATTGAGACTCAGACTCACAAGTGCCTGATTCCAGTACCTGACTTCTTTTCAGGACACCTCATTGCTACATTACCAAGGAAAGTATCATTTCTTCTGCTCCTCAGCAGCCAGCAAGATGGAAACCACAGAGTGTAAGCCAAACTACTTCCCTCTTCCTGGCTAATTTAGCATTGCAATTTCTCTCGGCATAACATGTGCTCCTGCTGCCACCTACCGGCAGCCTCTTACATTCTGCTATTTCTTTGTAAACTCCATTTTTGCAAAGAAGCCATCTGGCTCTTAGCAAACCTTCCAAACAAACAACAAGCTCAATGCAGACAACCAGCTGGTAAACCTTCCCCCAAAGTTGGTAGAGCTATAAGGGAGAAGTAATTCCCATATACCTCCCTTAGGGACAAATCTTTTCTCCTTCTAAGCCGCTCTCAGTTTCCAAGAGATTTCACCTGCTTCCATGTATTGAAAGAAATCGCAGATTCTGTGATCCACACCATCTAAATTTGGATGGTGGTCTCCGGCAAAAATGAGGAATTCCATGGCCCTAGCACTTAACACTGGCCACCACATCAATATCAATAACAAAGTAGTGGGTAACAGCGCCTTGACCAAGAAGGGTCTAAGAGGCTGGCAAAGCGTGGCTTGTTTTCCTCCTAGAGGGTGGGGCCTGGGGCAATCGTGCTCCTGCACATCCTGGACCATCACTCTGGGCAGCTAGGAGCACCGAGGGAATCCATTCCCTTTTCCAAGGACATCATCCATCCATGACACTTCCCCCTGCCTCCCAACACCCACCCCACAGGACATCATGACTTATCATCCAGGGTGGGTGGTTGGATTTTTGTTTTTCTTTGTTTCCCTTTCCATGATAAAATGGGGAACAACCCTTCCTGGGGGTGGGGGAGTTTATTTCTGACTGTTGGGAAAAAAAAGAAAGAAGGAATTGTTGTCACGACAATTAGGAGCTCATCAAAGCTTCATTCTGCTCATCAGCCATCATTGCCCTCCATCCCGCACCCCCGCATGTTCCTCTAATTCAATGCCGCCTAATGAATAACTCCTAGGAACAAAAGAGCCTTTCAGGCTGGCGCACGTAATTATTAGAGGAGCCTTGCATAACTGTCACAGACTACTCATGTTTTCAGGCCTGTCTCTAAATTTGGTTATTCACAACCTTTATAGCTCAATATTATTGCCTAACTGTGATCATTTTCTAATTATCCTAATAATACCTATTAAATAATTCCCATTAAATCACTTGAACCAGAGCAGCACAGGCCAGCTCAAATACAACTTAACCTAATAAGCATTGGTCATTCATTAAGCACCAGGGCAATCTTTTAAAGGGGCTGAATAGAATATTAAACTGCAAAGGAATATTATTATTGCACAAATGTTATTACAAGTTGGAGTGTATTAATTTCGATGCCTGGTTTGCACATCTTCCGTTTGGTTTCCTTAGGGGCCGCTCTCCTTGACTCGACTCTTCCAGGCTCCAGCCCTGCGTTGATCTGCCTCTATCACCCACACAAGGACAATCAAGGGAGGAAAAGGCCCATAAGCTGAACAGGGGAATTAAATTACTAAGGATGTAAAGGGAATGAAGGGAATCCATCTTCTGGCTGGGTCGACACACCTTTGAAAACAGAAGCTGGCTTTCTTCAGCTGATAATTCAAAATATCCTTTCTGTACACTTGGGGAAGAGGGAGATTTTCAGAAGCTTGAAAAATCTGGTGTCTAGAATTTAAATTTTAAGCAGTAAAGATTAGC